TGTGACGCTGGAAACGAAGAAAGAGAGTGATATTAATGTTGTTGAGGGTAATAGTGAGGATGATGCATGATCTAGATAGGAGAGGAACATGACGTATGGGTTAGAGAAGAAAGAGGCACAAATGTAAGATGATGACGATGATAAATAAGCGGGTTGACACCCACACTCTTTTGATCTTGTACATGATTGGTGTACAATACTAACAAGATGAAAATTAGACATATGTGCAACATCTGGGTATTTTTATTGTAGACGTTTCGCTAATCAGTGGTTTTATGAAGCCACTGGTTTGGTGAAACGTCTACATTAAAGATACTCAGATTTTACTCATGTTTAATTTTCACCTTTTTGTCTTACTCACGTATCTTTGTAAGTGAGTCTAACCTAAATTACATTCAGTGCTCCCGCTTATCGTAGGCTCAGTTTGAAACACATGTCTGTGGTGAATGAAACTGGTCATGACCAAATACAGAAAAAACCCAGTTTCATTACGACCAGTAGTGTTCCTTGAAATGTTCCTGTATCGGTTGAGAGATAATTTTTTTCAGTCTTTCCTTACAGTAACTTGAGAATACGACTTTCGATCTGCTTCAGACTTTCAACATTAGTGTATCTTACTTAGAGGAAAGATCTGATGGTTATTAAGTGTTCTCCGATAGGAGGAACTTATAGGGATTCTCAGAATTCAATTTGTAATAACGTTGATAAAATTTCTGCAATATGTTCGGTAAAATAACACAACTGTAGCTAATGTGAAATTTTATTGTGGTAACGTTTCGCTCTCCAGGAGCTTTGTCAAGCCGTTTCGCTCCTGGAGAGCGAAACTTTGCCACAATAAAATGTCGCATTAGTCATTTTTACCTAACATAATTATATTTCTAAGGTGAGAATCTCTCACTCTATGAGCATCAGGATTTCAGCGCTGGTGTACAGAATATAAGGAAAGATTACGCTTACTGGGAGAGGCACATCACCTTCTGTCAATTTCAAATACAAGATGTGATTTTGAAATGCCGCTTCTAATCAGCTTTGAGCTGTTAACACAGGTTCATTTTACATACACTAATGGAGGGAGATCCTACGAACTAATTCAGACATTTTGTTTATGAAATTGTGAGGAGTGTTAACCTTGAGATAACCTGAAAGAGCCTCTGCTGGAAGGCATCAAACTTTATTGGCTGACGCATCTTACTAAAAGAACGTTTAATCGCAGATTTAAGCTGTGTTCTTTGAAAGTTTATTCTCGGGAGTAGCATATAAATGTGATAGTTTTGGTTAAAACAATCAGGGCTACATATATGACCCTTATTTTAATTATAATAATAAAAATTATCAGAACAGCGGTCACCAATCCAGGCACACCGGGCACAGTCAGACCCGAAACTTTTAATTATTACTGCATTACTGGTAAGTCAAAACAATATTTTCGAAAAAAAGTCCTGTACAGAATACTGTTGCTTGCAAAAATTCAAATGAAAATAGTAGAACAATGACAAATTTAAAAAAAAAGGTATTATATATCTTACTGTAAAATATGACTTCAATTTATAAAACTAATATACATTTGTTTCAATATTAACCCGTAAACGGTCCAAACGTATATATACGTTTTTTCAACATTTGAAAGTATGTAAAAAAACTAGATCTTCTTTTTGTTTTTTTATTACATTTGAAATGTGTAAAAAAAACGTAGATCTACTTTTGTAGCAGTACACATGTGAACGTAGATCTGCTTGGACCGTTTACAGGTTAATATTTAACGTAAGTCTGGCATGCACGTATTAAGTTCCAAGTCTGCATCACGTAAGTTCTGCACATGTGTCTTATTCACCAACTTGTCAATATTAACAAGTAATACAGTCAGGGTTTGTTACAACTCACTTGATAACATTAATTAAACTGTCAGTGTAATGCCTCGACGAGGACCACACGGAATAACAGTAACATTTTCCCAGTTACATACTTTCATTTAAATGTGTTATATATATATATATATATATATAAAATATATATTATATATATATATATATAATATTATATATATATATATATATATACATATATATATATATATATATATATAAAATTATATATATTATATATAAACAATATATAATATATATATATATATATATATATATATATATATATAATATATATATATATATATATATATATATATATATATATATATATATTTATATATATATGTCGTAGCGAATAAGGCCGAATAAGGCAAGCTACAATTTGTGTATGCAATAATTTCGCAAAAATCATTCTGAATCTAACGATAAAAATATATTTCATTGTGTTTGTTTATTATTGTAAACTTATCTAAAATATGTTTAGTTGGATTAGGCTAAATTTAATTGCGTTTGTTATAATAAGGTTAGGTAAGTTTTCTAAGGTTCTTTTAGTAAAAAATAATTAATATTTACGTTAACATAAAGGAAAAAAATACATCTTTAAACGCATAAGAGAAAATTTTAGAAAGGACTTAATTTTAAATGAATTCTTGCTAATTGACCAGTTTTACCTATTAGACACATAGTTACAGTGAACCGTGACAACAGAGGATGTAGCTGAAAATACGAGGTACAGTGAATCTGTTGAGTAACTGAAGAAGGTATTCGGTGGTCAAGTGCTCTCGGTTATGACACAAAATCAGTTATAATCACTAAATCAAGCTCAGTCTCACACGTCAGTCCTAGTGCCACTAGGACAGCTCAAAATGACTTGCTCCACCAAGTGAATAAATAGCTCCTCCACGTCAAAGGCAACATATAAATAGCTCATCCAAGTTAGAGGCAGTGAATAACCGCCTACTTTTAGCTGGAGACAGTGAATAAATAACTCCTCCAATGGGGAAGGCAAAGTATAACTAACGTCACCCAGTAGTATAAAAAGTCTCAGTGTGATGAACTCGGTACAGCTTCATTTTGAAACAGTGTCTGAAAGTGATAATTTTATTGAATACATCCACAGTGTGGTGTCATGTGCCTCACTAGGGTGATGCCCATTGGCTTGTCACCTCACAGAGTTTATTCAGACATATCATTTAAATAAATCCTTTATAGAGAAATCTGCAGCGTCCTGATTTCATGGAGAATGTGAATGGACCACGAAATGCATGGACCACAACTTATTTGGACTGCAGCCTATGTGGATCACATGTGTGGAAAACAAGTGTGGGCTGCAACATGGGTGGAAGACAATGTGTGTGAACCACAACATGGGTGGAAGACAAAGTGTGTGAACCATAACATGGGTGGAAAGACAAAGTGTGTGAACCACAACATGTGTGGAACACGTGTGTGGAGGACATGTATGCAACACAACATACATAGAACATAACATGTGGAACAGACCACGTGCTGACCAATACATGTGTTGAATACATGTATGAACCATAAGATGTGTGGAACACAACATATGTGGAAGCCAACATGAATGAACTACAAAATGTGTAGAGCAAAACATGTGTGGAACACAACATGTGTGGAATACAACATGTGTAACACAACATGTGTGGAAAGCAACATATATGAACTACCAAATGTATGGAAAACAACTTCTATGATCCTCAACAGTGTGGAATGCAACCTGTGTGAACCACCACACATGCTCTCCGAATTTTGTTTGCCAGTGTCGGGTCTCTTATAACACATTCGCCAGCATTATTGGTTCTTGGCTTCGTGGGTCGTATCATACCTATTCTTGAAACTGTGTTAGATTTGTCTTGACTACTTCATCATCTATCTCATTCTTTTTATTTACCACCCTGAGACTGAAAAAGCATTTCCTAACATCCGTTTGGCTCGTCTGTGTCTTTAGTTTCCATCTCTGACATCTCACCCCTATGCCTATTTCTCACTCAATCTTTCTTTCTTTAAAGTCATCTTCCTTCATAACGCAATTATAACTCAATTTTTTTTAGTTTTCATATGTTTAATCAAAGCAAGGCTTCATGCTGGTGCTGCATACTCCATGACAGGGATAGTATATGTCGTGTTAAACACATGTATGAAACACGTGTGGAACATGTATGAACCACAACATACGTAAAGCGCAGCATGTGTGGAATGCAACATGTATGAACCCCAGCACATATATATATATATATATAATATATATATATATATATATATATATATATATATATATATATATATATATATATATATAATATAATATATATATATAGAACACATCATGTGTGGAACACAAAATATATGGAACACAATAATTATGAACTATAACATATGCAAAACTACAACATTTATAATCAGTTTTACCGTGCATACATGTGTGGAACACATGTATGCACGGTAAAACTCTCAGGTCTTAAGCTAAGATCTCTACTTACACAAGCATATTTACCAGTTTCCCAGACTCTTCTCTCATGTGTACTTACTGGGGGTATCAGTGACCAACAATGACCTTCACTCCAACACTTACCATAGCTCATACACTGGTATTGGTCTCTCTTCAGTGTTAATCTTTGTTCTAAAATTGACCATCGGTGTTTTAATGATAGTATCTCCTACACTGTCCAGCTTTCCAACATTTATATACAATTTCTCAGCTACTGACTCTCTCCTTCCGGGTAGTATTGTCCATCGCTGCACCACTCACCATCACTCCAACACTGACTATCACAAACCATACCATGGTAGGGATAGAACCCGGGATCAGAGCCATAAAACTCCAGATCGACGCACTAGCCCAGTGGCTAGCGCGTCGGTCTGGAGTTTAAAGACTCTCTGATCACGGGTTCTCTCCCCGCCCGTGATATGGTTTGTTTTCAATCGTGTCATTACGATTTCGTGAGTACTATCACTCCAACACTGGCTATCTAAGGTAGTTCTGGCCTCTCACTCATACGCTGACCATCTTTCTAACACTGGCCTTACGGATACTATTGACCATAGCCTCAACAATGACCATCACTCCACCACTGACTTCCAGGGAGGGTACTGATCCCTCGCTCCAACACTGAC